TGTGTGTGGTGTATGTGTGTATCCTGAATTATATCAAATGGTGTAGTTTTCTACTACAAATAGTAAAATTAGATATTAAAAAATATGGGTATTTTTTCGGTAATTTTGAAAACATATCTCTAATTTCTTTGGGAGTTTGTAGCTTGATAAAAAACAGCATTTGTTCTCCATGTTTCTACAAATGTATCATTTCTCTCAGAAGTGCAAAAAAAGTTCAGCACTAAAACTGCGAGATGCATGCCAAAATGTAGATTGATTTTTGTGTTGATTTGCTAAGAAGTAGACTTTTTTAGTGAGTAGTTAGCAAAGTTAAATAAAAAAACTTTCAGAAGGTTTTTATGAGGTGTTGAGCTGCTAGTCAAAAAATAAATAAATAAAAAAATCAAATCACGGTTCCTCAAAACAAGTTCACAGCATCGTCTTATGTCTTTACTGCAGAAATGGGCCAAGAAGGGAATCTTGTCATCCGGCCCAGAATTATGGCTGTCACAGATGCAGCATCAAAAGGAGTTTAAAAAAATTGATCACTCTCTGAATAAACTAAACAAAAAAAAAAAAAAAAAGATTTGGCTGCTTTCAGAGCCTGAGGCGAGAGAGTTTGAATTTGTGAATTAAAACAACACTCATATAAACAAATAATTTTAGTGCATCACAGGGAGTCATTTTTTGCTGTGCTGTGTCTCTTCCTGTGAAATAATCAATACAGTACGCAGCAGCCTAATGTGTGTTGGCATAAGCCCATTTCCATATCACCTAAGTAAAATGACTACCTTTTTGTGGTCTTATTCTGTCATTGTCAGCAGCTGCTGCCATTACTCATCTGTCTTGGACTTGCAAAAACTCCCACAATTCCGAGGAAACATTGTCAACTTCTGTTACCGTCATTGCCGTGCCTCTCACAGGTAGCTCTGGTGTGGTCTGAGCGATCGCGTCAAGCAAAAACAAATTTCAATTAACCGAAACCGTTCAGCGCAACCCCGCATCTCGTTATTCATGCTGTCACTCTATCTAGTCAATTGAAAATCTACTGGCCCAGGCAGCTCGGCGCGCAACACTTTGAAAGCGCGGGGGCAGAGAGAGGTGTGGGTTTCCGAAGCCCTGCCTCACTAAGTGCGTGATAATTCAAGCGCTGACTTGCACCGTGCCTGCTTTAGTATCCATCTGTCATGCTAACAGCTTATTAGTGGCCTGAAGAAAGCGAGGGCCACCCCTCAACTCGGAGACTAACAAATGGCAGCGTGCCTTCAGTGAGTGTGTGCGTGTCAAACTGTCTGGCTATTCGGGTGTCGACGCCCTCATTACACTAGCCTTCAGACAGCTGTACTTATAGATTCTTCTCCTAGAGTCCATTACAGCGTTGTACTCCGGAGTGAAGAAAATAGATAGCTCTGATGGCAGCAAAAATACTTTAGGCTGAACGCTCATTGAAAAGGTTGCTAATTATAGTACTTTTGAATGGAATAAGTTCAGCCGAACTGGACATATGGATGAAAAATGTTGCGAAATATGCCTGACTGTACCACACATACTTCTAGCTGTTTGCAACTACATTAAATATGTCACATTTAAATCATTATTAGTACAACTAAAATAAATAAAAAGCAATGGTTTACAACTTAAAAATATGTCTTATGATATGAGGTTGAAGATATAGCTATTTTGGTCAAACCTTGTTAATGTAGTTATGCTCAATCTTAAGTGACAATAAGAGATTATGCAATTTGTGTTATAACTAAAAGCATATGTTGAGGATGACAAACTTTAACGCTAAAGTTTGCTTATTATTTGTAAATTGAACTAAATTTTAGCCATTTTGTGCTGGCCAAGGTTGAGTAACTGCGGTGGCCATTCAGTTGCTTTCTGAGAGTTTCATTAAAATAGGTCCAGTGTTTTTTGAGATAGTTGGCTAAAGAGAGATTATTGATTCCAACAACTATTGCCAAACCTTTATCTCACACATTGAGTAGCACTTGGCCTATATGTTGTGACTCTTGAGCTCATTGTCGTGCCCCCAGCGTCAAGGTATTGATGCATGACCAAGCATCATCATGTTCTGTACGAGATGGGGCGGAGGAGGATGGTGTGTTTTTACAAGCCTAAAATTGTGCAAAACTAACCATCTTAGACCCTAAATTTAACGTCTACTAGCCTTATAGAGCCTAATCTTGACCACAGACTCTAAAGTTAACCATTAACCTTGATCGCTCATGTTAACCACATCCCTCATGCTAACCAAGGACCCTAAAGTTAACACCAACCCCTAACCTCATGTTAACCACAGACCCTAAAGTTATCCTTTAATCCTGATTCCTCATGTTAACCTCATACGTCACGCAAACCCGGAAAAGCCGCGGTCGGCAAGGACGGATGCGCAGGGTAATCCCCTGCGTGCCATTTTTGTGTTTTATAAGCTCATTAGGCTGCAGCAACCATCTGAAATCAAACTGAACTCTAAAGGTAATTAGTTGTAATGGTGCATCCAATGATTATTTAATTAAATTTTCTTTAATATCTGTCTACTTATTCACAAGATATTGTGCAAACAGACAAGGATAAGTCCAAATAGTTAATGGCAAAATGTAAAAAGAAAATTAATAAAAATGACTTGTGCAATAGGATAAATCTCAGCTTCTACCACATTAAATTTTAGCTCCATATCTGTAAAATTAACCACATTTTAGTCACAGGGTCAGTTGCCTATGGCAGCCATCTTGAACTAAGTTGACGACAAAAGTTAATCAGGTGTAGATGTACATCTGAAGATTACTTTTAAGTTTAATTAAATCTGTCCAGTGGTTCAAGCAATCCTTGGATCCTTCATCCTTAGGTGCAGATTTCAGCCTACAGCTTTTGTGCCATTTTTTAGTTCTCCAAACTGACTCATGCTTTACTTTCTACAAGAGTCTGTTCTCTTTCTTTCCCTTTCTGTACAGTCACCCTTTGAAGCAGAATTAAAAGCATGAAGTGAATTTTAAACCCTATTCTCTTTATCTTCCACTCTTCAAAAACACAATGCCATAATCAGCAGTTTGGACTCACACCTCTTTGCTAAATGACAGCGTACGCTGCTCGCACCTCTTGCTATTAATAAAGCAGACATGGTGACAGTGATGCGGATGCAAATGGGTAGGTATCCCATGGTTACCTCTGTTGAGCGTGGCAGAGCTGTTGATGTCTCCAGTGATGAAGGAGGACTCCTGTTTCCTCACGGTGTCGTTCCACATCCGTCTGATGCGGCTCTGTACACAGGAGAAAAGAGGAAGGAGGGGGGGAAAGGGAGGGAAAGTGGTAGAGAAGGTGTAGGAAAAGGCAAAAAGAAGAAGCAGTAATGACAGGGAAAGGCCATGAGAGAAATGAATAAGAACAGGACAAAACAAGATGACGAGGGGTGGGGGGGATTTATGGTAAGAAAATAGGAATTATGATGTGCAAAATAAGGGCAAATTAGTGCAGGAGAGGCAGTAAAGGAAAAAAAACAAAAAAACAAAGCAAGGACCAGCAAGAAACAAAAAGGCAAGGAAGAGGTATTTTTAATCAGTGTCATCTTTCCTCTGAATATCTGAATGTCCGCAATGAAATCTGTATGAGTCTGGGTTTGGGATACCTTGCTTTCAACACTGAACAGTTCACGTTTCAAAACCAGATCCACGGCATTCAGATTTGAAATAAATGCGTCTGGATCCTTAGACAGGTTGAAAGCGAAGTGCAATAATCCCAAACCCCCTCGCTCACTGCACGCTCTGGCCTCACCTGAGAGTCTGCTGTGCTGTAGCGTCCTGGTGTGCAGGCAGGTAAGCTCACCTGTGAGCCTGTGGAGTAGCGGCCCGGGGTCCGAGAGGTGGTGGTCTTACTCGAGGAGGAGATGGAAGTCTCCACGCTTTTGCCGCTGCAGCAGTGAGTGCGCAGACACTTGCCATACTCTTTGCGCACCTGGGGGGGGTTATGGTATGAATCAGAACAATCAACCAGCTCAATGAACGTGTGAAAAACTGACAATTGTACTCCCCTAACCTTCCAGTCTGACAGAACATGATAAAACAAGCACTGTTTTCGCTCCCATTTCCCAAGTAAACACTAAACCCATAAAAGGCAGACATTAGGAGATTAACTTCATAAACTTTCCTCCATCAACACCCACCTCACATTCATCTGAAATGGACATATTCCTCGGAGAGCTATCTGATGCATTCGTACACACAGAGCATCTGCACTTAGATCTCAATCAAGTTAGAACAAATAAGAGCGTAATTGATTTTTAACAAGCTTGTTGGACTGGCAGGCGTGGATTGCCACATGCTCTGTTTGAACAGCTGCGAGCTGAGTCGATCCATGCATCTTGAGAGAAACCGTAGTTGGGCTGCAGCCAAGGAAAACCTCAGCACCGTTCCGAGGACCCCACTCCGGATAGCTGATCCCGTAACCCAAAACATACCTAAGTACGCCGCACGCATACGTTTTACAAGTCAAAGCACCTAAAACTCTGTGCAGGACTGGAGCCAGATGAGCGTGCATTAAGCATTTCCTTTTCTATATCCTGCTCCTCTTCATCGCTGCCAGGCTCTGGCTGGGAGTGGGTGGGAGACCCTGAAAAAAAAATGTGCCGTGATGTTTTGGCACTTCCTCCAAGCTAAATATAACTGAAATCTAAAAAGGGGCAAATTTGTGCTCACGAGTTCCAGCAGTATTTTTTGGAGGATTAAACCCCAAATCAGCATAAAACAGTTAAATTTTTTAGGGGTAAAAGGAAGATGTGAGTACTGGCCTGTGTCCAACTTTGAAAAAAAAAAAAGATTTAAAGACTCCCATCATTTTTTTCCTACTCTTTTTTGAGCAAGTTAAGTACATATTGACTGTGTTTTTACTACTTTTTATGTTTTGATTTTTTTGTTGTTCTATTTCAACATTTCAATTTAAAACCAGTCAATCAATCAAATAATCAATCAAACTCAGATGCTTTATTTTAAAGTTTTTCCTCGAGCAATATTTATTTATTAACATGATCAAAGTGAAGCAATCTGCACAGTGTTGTAACTCGATCACCAGCTGTGGGAAACAATCACAGTGTTTGTTGCTGTTTATATCGGCTCGACTGCAGATTTTCTCTTGCACAGTAAGCGTCGATGCTGAGAAAATTATACTGCTACACAGCAGGAAGGGCAACAAAGAAGAGCAGTGCAGGAAATTTATCCAAATTTTTCCAAAACCAACGTGTATCCATAAAATCAGCACAAACTGGTTAGTTTGAACATCTTTAGTCTGTTTCCAGTGTTGTCTTTCTCACCTTTTTCTGGAGGATGCAGTGGAAGATAAAGATGAACATGCCCTGCAGAGAGTTGAAGATGGTGAAAAGGTAGGCCATGATGACAGTGCTCTCGTTGATGTACATGAGGCCGAACGCCCAGGTTAGACCTAGCAGACACAGCAGAGCAATGGCACCAATCACCCAAGACCTACAAGAGAAGGGATAGATGTAAAGAACCCCTCTGTTAGTAACTGCGTGTGTGTTGCAGTTGAAATTCAACTTGTCTTTTCTCAAAAAAAGAAACTAGTAAGCCAAGGCTGATGCATGTGGGACCAGGAGAGAGGGGTCAAAGAGGGTTCACTCAGAGTCCTGACACTGTGGGAGAGTGATGGAGGAACTGTGGGTGTTTTGCTTTAAAGAATTATACCCTTACAAGTTAAAGTGGATTTCTTCATTTAGCTACCTCAAGAGAGGGAATGGAGGTTAAACGACAGCAGCTATCATCTGCTGATGCAAAAAGTACTTTACTGTCTTACTTTTTTCAAGTTACAGCTGAACTCGATCAATCCAAATAAAAGGCATTTTCCAGTCTGAATGGGGTCCAGATGAGTGTTGTGCATCTTTTGACTAATGGCAATTAAATGTGAGTTGATTCGAAAAATAAAATTAAATAAAACATTTTCAAGACCTCAGAGCATTTCTTAAATATAGGCAAAGAAATGAGTCACAGGCCAAATGCCACAGGATAGTGGTCATGTTGAAGAACGTGAGTGCATTTTCAAGTCCTTGCCTGTGTGTGAGTGTGCGTGTGTGTGTGTGTGTGTGTGTGTGTGTG